TTCTCAACTGTTTATGTTCATTTATTACATGACCGACGAGGGTTTACGTGAATAACCACTAAGTGCTGCATTTGACAATTTTTTAGCGTGTATATGACCGTTTAGGCGCGCACCTTGAGTTAAAAGATTACTTTTATGTCCGTGTTCTGAGCGCATCCACAGAAATCCTCCCGAGGAACAGCGCAAGTTCTCTTTCGCGCTTTTAAAAACATGAATACATCTAATCAACTTAAATAAATCAAGCACGTCCCTTTTGCAAAAGTCACGTTACATGATTTTACTGATTTGCACGTGAAATTGGGCTTTTATGGAAGAGCGAAAGCGCACTGCTAGAAAGAGAGTGGAATGGGGCGCAATAATTGTTTTATCTCGATTATTGTATTTTCATAATCGTTGGAGGCCGAAATCGAAACTGTATTTCGATTAATTGCACAGCCCTAGCCTTACAAATTATTGACGTTTCTAACTTCAAAATTTCTTATTGAAATTAGTGTTACTTCCATTTCTTTGTAATTATTTTTAAAAGTTACCAGCAATTTCTGAGTGAAAATTCTTTCTCCACCGAATTTTTTTCCAGTGTAGCATCACAGCAGCACGTTTTGCATTTCTGTTGTTTTTAACTTCAGAAAATATCTACTCTGAACGTCTCTCTTGTTGTGTGGTTGTTCTCCTGCAGTCTGATCTGGTGGAGGAGTATTTTGAAGCTCACAGCAGCTCTAAGGTTCTCACGTCCGATCGGACCCTCCAGAAACTCCAGACGCCCAAACTGGACCGGGTCAGTGATCTACAGCTGTCTGTGATTGTGGGATCTGTTTGAGATCTAACGGAGGTGTTCAATTGTGTTTTATAGGAAACTCTGCTCAGCCTCTTGGGTAAAAACCAGCCACGCTTCGCAGAGGAAATTAAACAGCTCAATGCAAAACACGAGAAGAACTTCAACCAGTGGATGCTGCAGCTGCAGTTGAGTGTGTGTGTGAGTGTGAGTGTGAGTGTGTGTGTGAGTGTGTGTGTGTGTGTGTGTGTGTGCGTGTGCGTGTGAGAGTGTGTGAGTGTGAGTGTGTGTGTGTGTGTGCGTGCGCGTGAGTGTGTGTGTGCGCGCACGTGTGAGCGTGAGTGTGTGTGTGTGTGAGGATGATGAAGATGCACATATTCATCTTGTGTTTCTCTGTTCATGAATATTTCAGCATGGGCTTTAACATCTTGATCTACGGTTTGGGCTCCAAGAAGCTCTTGCTGGAGAAGTTCCGCACATCCATGCTTTCTGACTACGATCATGTGGTGGTCAATGGCTTCTTCCCCAGTATGACCCTCAAATCGGTTCGTTCGCTGCTTCTGTGTTTCTCTCACGCACACATGAAACCTCTGTCATCGTGAATGACTTTATTATGCAACAAAAAAGATGTTTTGCACAACCTTCATGCTGCTTTTGTCATACAGTGAAAGCATCATGTGACAAAACAGCAGTCGTTATGACTGATATCGACTAATATAACAAACTCGGTGTGAATGTTTCAGTTTGTTCACTGTCTAAGTCCCGTTCGTGCCACGAACTATAACTAAAACTATAAATATAATAATTTTACAACAGCTACAAAGGTATGTAATGATACAAAATGTAATGGTAACTTTAACAATAAGTATAATGATAATTGTAACAGTAGCTATGACAATAAATATAACAAAACATTAAAAAAACAGTGATAACTATAACATTAAATATAACACTCACTATAAATATAATGATAACTGAAACGCTATCTATAACAATAATGATAAATATAAAGATGTCTCTAACGATAGTGGTTATAACGATAAATATAAAGATAACTCTAACTATAATAACAATAACTAATGATAATATAACAAAAAATATAGTGATACTGAACTGTAACAATAAATATCACTATAAAAATAATAACTAATGCTAACAATGATAAATATAAAGATAACAATAACTAAAATTATAATAACTGTAATGAAAAAATATTGTGATATCTGTTACGATAAATATATAACTAATGATAAATATCATAATTGTAACTAACGATAACTAACAACTATAATAACTAACTATAATGCTAAATATCATGATAACTGTAACTATAACAATAAATAAATAAATAAAACGATAAATATCATAATAACTAACTATAACGATAATGGCAACTATATAACTTTAATGATAAATATCATGATAACTAAGTATAATAACGATAACGATAAATATCACAATGACTTCAGTGATACATATCATGATAACTGCAAGTATAATGATAACTATATGATAACTATAACAATAACTCATCTCAATTTTGAAAAATTGACCCTTATGACTGGTTTTGTGGTCCAGTGGTTATAATAACTATAACGATAAATATTTAAGCGTCCTCCGCAGCAGCTGATAGCGTTCCTTGATAACAGCTTTGATTGACATTGTCTGAATGCTGCTGTAATCTGACAGATCCTCAATTCCCTCACCTGCGACGTGTTCGGACACGAGGGAACTTTCCGTAATCCTGCAGACCAGATCGACTTCATCATCAGAACTCTCAGAGAAGGTAAGGCTGACGTGTGACGTCTCTCAGCTGACCTCTGATCGTCTCCAGGCTGTAAGCCGCGTGTTTGTCTTCCAGACCCGAGCAATCACATCTTCCTGGTCATCCATAACATCGACGGGCCCATGCTGAGGGGCGACAGGAACCAGCAGGCACTGGGGCAGCTGGCGGCGCTTCCCAACATGCACCTGCTGGCCTCCATCGACCACATCAACGCTACACTCAGTCAGTCTCACGCTTCAACTTTAGGTGATGCTGATCACTGGTATTATGGGCTTGTAATGTTCTCCTCGTTTGCGTTTGCTCAGTCTGGGATCAAGCGAAGATGAGCATGTTCAACTGGCTGTGGTACGAAACCACCACATACCTGCCGTACACTGAAGAGACGTCATACGAGAACTCACTGCTGGTGCAGCAGACCGGAGCACTGGCCCTCAGCTCACTAACACACGTGCTGCGCAGCCTCACGCCCAACGCCAGGTGACACACACACACACTCACACCCCCCTCACTCACTCACTCTCTCACTCAAACACACACACTCCCTCACTCACTCACTCACTCACTCAAACACACACACTCACTCACTCATTCACTCACTCAAACACACACACTCACTCGCTCACTGCCACCATATATCTGGTGGTTCTTAAAAAGTACTAAAACAATTGTTAATTGAATTAAGTGGAGTCCAAATTCAGAACCAGGGGCCTCATATAAAAGATGCACATGCAATTGGATTTGATCCTAAATTCCATTAATTCATCATGCATCAAAAGTGAGGAACAAATCTGGATTTATAAAGGGCAGAAACTGACATGAAAAGGTTATTATGTGATTGTCTGAACTGAGAAATACACGAAAGAACTTTCTGCACTCATACACCAATAATTAAAATAGTCCAATATTGATGATAATAGTAATGTAAAGAAAAATAGGGAATTACAATATTCATTATATATATTTATATATACACACACACACACATGTGAAAACAAATGCATTTACCAGACACTTTTAGCAATGTATGTGTCTCGTGTGTCTGTGTGATTTTCAGGGGAATCTTCAGATTACTGGCAGAGTTTCAGCTGGAGAACAAGGACAATCCTGCATATACGGGTAAAACATCCACCACTGCCACTCAATGCATTTATAATGAAGCCTCTGCTTATTAAAACGGATGATTGTTGTTGTTTGTTCAGGATTGTCTTTCCAGGATTTCTACCAGCGCTGTCGCGAGTCGTTCCTGGTGAACAGTGACATCACGCTGCGCACGCAGCTCACCGAGTTCAGAGACCATAAACTCATCCGCAACAAGAAGGTCAGAACTCGCCTGAACTCACTTCACACCTGCAGAATTACTAGGGATGTGATGATATCAAAATCTCACGATACGATAACATCGCGATATGAAGTCCATGAAACGATATTTATTGCGATATAATAAAAAAAAAAAAAGAATTGGAAAAAATTAATTATTGCACTTCAAAATGAAGAGCTGCGACCCATGTTCTTAACTAAGAAAACTTAAGTCAGAAGAAAGTCAGTGAATTGACTTGTAGTTGAACTTTAAAGGAGACTCAACCCTCTTTTTATTTGTGATCTACTGTCTCAGTCTAAATTACACTCACACTGCTGTTTTAGGAAGATAAACTAATTATTATAATAATAATAATAACAACAGTAATAGCCATATATTATAAAACAATTGCACTGTAAAATAAATGAAAATGAATGTTTCATAGGTATATTATTTTAGCTTTCTGAGACGCAGAAAACACCGGATCACGAGCTGATCGTCTGAACCAAGTGTGTGCTTCACTTTGAGACAGACTTGATGAAGAGATGAAGCATATTGTGCTTTCGGTTTGAGATACTGTGCCAAAGCATAATGACCCAAAACACAACTTTAAACACCTCTTATGTTAGAATAAGAAGTTTAAATATATTTTAAAAACTACACACACCTATCGTTTCATATCGTCATGTGACCGCGATAATATCGAGACAGTTTTGCTACCATGATATTGATTATATCGTTACATCGCTAGTAATTACTGAAGTGATGATTATTTACGCAGTGTTGTTTGTGTGTCAGGGCGCTGATGGAGTGGAATATCTGCTGATTCCGGTGGATAACGGCACTCTGACAGACTTCCTGGAGAAAAACGATGTGGAGTGAAACCAGGAAAACCTCACTGCTGTCCACGGCTCAGTAAATGTGTTTAGCTGAATAGCACTTAATCTTTCTGATAAATAACTTGCCAACATTGTATCATAAATGATTTGATACAGGAGGAAACGTGGCAGGTTTGACTGAAGACAGAGACCGCTTGTGTGGTTGCAGGGTTAAAGGTCTCTTAAAGGAACAGTTCACCCAAAAATGACATCATGCTGAAAGATTAATATACCCCAGCGACTTAACACTGCTTTTGTGCTCCAGGGTCACATATAATATAATATATGATGCATTTGATCATATTTCTGTTGCAGGTGATACTCTGATTTGACCAACATCACAGCTGTATTGTCCTCGAGTGACTGATGAATGGGCTCACCCTGGTTGTCGAGTTTGTGCAGGCCGGGCAGGTTTCTGATGACGGTCATGCGGTATCTGTGCGGCTCAGCATCACAGCAGGGGTTCTCGGCGAGCCACAGCACCTTCAGACGGCTCAGCTGCTGCAGATGCTTCAGCTCCGACAGACTCGGGATGCTGTTGCGTCTCAGATACAGCTCGCTGAGGTGCTGACACGACGAGATGTGCTCCAGAGACGAGATCTGATTAGCACTGAGAACACACACTGAGAGTTATTACAGTCATATGATGAGATTTATTATTATTATGGATTACTGCCAAAACAAACCTCAGTGTGAGAACCTCGATGTTAGGAATCTCCACAAATATAGAGATCTGTGGATAAAATCAACACATAGTGAGATATCGCACTGAGATGGTATCATTTGGTAATACCTCGGTACTTTGATACATACTATGGTACTGAATAAATTATAGAATATTTTAATATGGTTTTAATAATATTTTGAAATAATAACTATATAGTAGTGCTGTCAATTGATTAATCGCATCCAAAATACGTTTTTGTTTACATAATATATGTGTACTGTGTATATTTATTATGCATATATAAATACATTCATGTACATATTTTTTAAAAATATTTACATGCGTTTCAGCTTTTGTCTTCTCCAGATGTTAACTGATGGACTGGAGTGCTGTGGATTACTTGTGGATTATTGTGATGTTTTTATCAGCTGTTTGGACTCTCATTCTGACGGCACCCATTCACTGCAGAGCATCCGTTGCTGAGACACTGATGCAGTGCTACATTTCTCCAAACCTGATGAAGAGACAAACTCATCCTAATCTTTCAGCATCATGTCATTTTTGGGTGAACTGTTCCTTTAAATCCTGTTTCTGCAGCTCACTCGTGTACAGTATTCTGTAAAGTTTTGTAGGATCACAATAAATATTCTTATGCATCCGAGTTTATTTACATAGAAAAATACATTCTCATATATTATCTCAACACAACAAAACATTGCTACACTTCATTTAGATCATTACAAAGCAAAACATTAAGAAAACATCTTAATTTGAACAGGAAAAGGCAACTTGGTAACAATCACGAGCGAGGCGTTTAGACGTGAGCATAACAGATTCAGATTCAATGTTTTAATGTTAATATGTGAGATGGAGCTCTGGCTGCTGGTTTAAGCGTGTCGTCAGTGTTTTCCGCTGGTGTTTATGAGCAGATGGGAGATTTCTCTCGCTCTCTCCGTCGACTGCGTGATCGGAGTTTGCTCTCGGTGACCGACTGAACGATTTTTAGCTCCTCGACGTCCAGATCCTTCATCAGGAGGAGAACGGCCTCCAGCGCGTGAGTCTATAAACAAGACGGGTTATATACAGTACATGCATGTGTGTGTATTTATATATATATATACACATAAATATACACAGTACACATATATAAACAAAACTTACTTTGAATGCGATTAATCAATTGACAGCACTAATATATATATATATATATAAATATAAATTAGAATATAATGGAAAAGTTCAAAAAAGCAAACTTTCTTATATTCTAGATTCATTGCCCACAAACTGAAATATTTCAAGAGTTTTTTTATTTCATTCTGATGGTTACGACTTACAGTTGAGCTTAGGAAAATTTAAAATTCAGTATCTCAAGAGCTTGATTAGTTTTGGGTATAATCCTGGGCTAGTTTAGAGCATGCACCCACAATACTGGGGAGGACTACTGGCTTGACAGTCCTCTTTTCGGATAAGTTTTGTATTTTGTTTGGAGATCAAGGTCTGGAGGAAGACTGGAGAGGCACAGAATCCAAGCTGCTTGAAGTCCAGTGTGACGTTTCTGAATCCTCATTACTTCAGTCTTCAGTGTCACATGATCTTCAGAAATCAGTATAATATGCTGATTTGCTGCTCAAGAAACATTTCTGATTATTATCAATGTTGAAAACAGCTGAGTAGAATTTTTCCAGGATTCACAGATGAATAGAAAGTTTCATCAGAACAGCATTTATCTGAAATAGAAATCTTTTGTAACATTATATATGTTCATAATTGTTTTACGAAATTATATTTGATTTGAGTTTTTTATAGACATTTATTTCCCTGCGTTGACAAATTTAAATGCGCTGCATTATTTTGCTCATTGCGCCCTCCTGTGGCCTCGGGAGACAAGACAAAATTTTCGGGCTAAGGAGAAAAAGAACTGGACTGTTGCTCAGTGCTCCAAAGCCCTCTTTTCAGATGAAAGTAAATTTTGCATTTCATTTGGAAATCAAAGTCTGGAGGAAGACTGGAGAGGCACAGAATCCAAGCTGCTTGAAGTCCAGTGTGACGTTTCTGAATCCGAGATGATTTGGGGAGCCGTGACGTCTGCTGGTGTTGCTCCATTGTGTTTTATCAAGTCCAGAGTCAATGCAGCCGTCTAGCAGGAGGTTTTGGAGCACTTTATGCTTGCATCTGCTGACAAGCTTTATGGAGATGCTGATTTCCTTTTCCAGCAGGACTTTAGCACCTGTGACAAACCCCTTGATATAACTGTGCTTGATTGGCCGGCCAACATGCCTGACCTGAAGCCCATCTGGAGTCTATGGGATGTTTTCAAGAGAAAGATGAGAAACAGACGAGCTGAAGTCTTCACTAACGCCTCAGCAGAGCCACAGACTGATGCTCGTCTCCGGGCCACGCCGCACTGAAGCAGTAGTTCATGCAGAAGGAGCCCCGACCAAGTATTGAGTGCAGAATTAAACCTACTTTGGAGATCTTGAACATTTCTGTTTTGTAAATCTTGTTTTGATTGATCTTTGAGAAGATATTCTAATTTTTTGAGATACTGAATTTTTTATTTTCCTAAGCTGTAAGTCATAACCCTAAAAATAAAAAAAATCTCGAAATATTTCAGTTTGTGTGCAGTGAATCTAGAATGCAAGAAAGTTTGCTTTTTTGAATTAAATTACTACAAATAAAGAACTTTTCCATGATATTCTAATTTTTTGAGATGCACCTGTACATACTTACATATACAGTATATATATATATATATATACACACACACACACATACATTTATATATATATATATATATATATAT